TAAGAAGAGGGGAATTCTTCCCTCTCTGAACTGTTGTCCAGTTTAGGTGAGGAAAGAGGAGGTGAGCAGAGCAAGGCCGGGCCTGCAGGGACCTGGAACCCCAGGTTATGCACAGCATCCAAAAGTGACAGCCCCGAGCTCCTCCCGGGCCCATGGGGCTCACTGTGGCTGCCTCTCTTTCGGGCCCTGGGATGAGAAGGGATTCGAACCCTTCCAGCATTTGGAGGGGGAGGCTCTTCCTGTGGGTGCCTGGAAGCTCAGCAACTGTTCCTGGGGGAGGAGGGGTGCAGAGAAAAGGGTTTCTGAGAGGGCTTCCCTAAAGAGAGTCCTAGGCCCTCCACCTGGGAGGGGCCAGGCCGAGAGCCCAGGTAAGGATAGACAAGCCCTAATGAGATGAGCACACACACACACACACACACACACACACGTGCCCAGCCAGCATGGCTCAGTGGTTGAGTGTCAATCTATGAACCGAGAGGTTGCAATTCGATTCCCTGTCGGGGCACATGCCTGGGTTGTGGGCTTGATCCCCAGTATGTGGCGTGCAGGAGGCAGCCAATCGATGATTCTCTCTCATCATTGATGTTTCTGTCTCTCTCTCCCTCTCCCTTCCTCTGAAATCAATTAAAATATATGTTTTAGCCCTAGCCGATTTGGCTCAGTGGATAGAAACTCTCTCTCTCTCTCTCTCTCTCAGAGGTCCTTGCCTTATAGGACCCCCAGTGTCCAGCCTCACCCGGTCTCTAGTCCTGGCCCAGCCCTCTCTGATATCCTTTATCATTTTTTTGTTAATTGTGGCAAAAAAAAACACATAGCATAAAGTTTACCATTTTAACCACTTTTGAATGCACAGGTCAGTAGTACTAAGTACGTTCACATTGTTACGCTACCATCGCCACCATCCGTCTCCAGAACATTGTCATCTTGCAAAACGAAAACTCTGTGCCCATGAACCAGCAGCTCCCCTTTGCTCCCTGCTCCCACCCACTGGGACCGCCATCCCACTTTCTATTTCTATGAATTTGACTTCTTTAGATACATACAGAGGTGTTTGTCTTTTTGTGTCTGGCTTATTTTACTTAGTACAATGTCCTTAAGGTTCATCAGTGTCCTCGCAGGTGACATGATACACCTCCTTTTTAAGGCCAGATAATATCCCATTGTGTGTATATACCACATTTTATTTATCTATTCATCTACCAATGGGTTGTTTCCACTTTTTGGCTATTGTGACTAATGCTGCTATGAGCATGGGTGTACAGAGGTCTGTTTGAGACTCTGCTTTCAACTCTTAGGGCTATAGTCCCAGCAGTGAGATGGCTGGATCATGTGATAGATTCTATTGTAATTGTTAGAGGAATTGCCATACTACATTCCATAGTGATTGCATCATTTTACATTTCCACTAACAGTCATAAGGGTTCTAATTTCTCCACATCCTTGCTAACACTTGAGGTTTTAGTATTTTTTGTTTGTTTGTTTAATATATTTTTATTGATTTCAAAGAGGAAGGAAGAGGGAGAGAGCGATAGAAACATCAATGATGAGAGAGAATCATTGATTGGCTGTCTTTGTCTGGAGGCCACAGGACGGGAACCTCATCTGACTGACAAAAGCCAAGAATGTACAAAGTTTTCATTTTTTTTAATATATTTTTTATTGATTTCAGAGAGGAAGGAAGAGGGAGAGATGGAAACATCAATGATGAGAATCATCGGTTGGCTGCCTCCTGCAAGCCCCCCACTGGGGATCGAGCCCACAACCCAGGCATGTGCCCTTGACCGGAATCGAACCTGGGACCTTTCAGTTCACAGGCCAACGCTCTATCCACTGAGCCAAACTGGCTAGGGCTGGTGTTTTTTTTAATAGTAGCCATCCTAATCGTTGTAGGTCCGACTTGCAACCTTGCTCATCCTTAACTATAGAGTGTTGGTGCTGGAATTGCCTTTAGAGACCCTTTGATCTGGCCCCTGAATTGTACATTTTATAGTCAGTAACTTGAGGTCCTTGTAACTTGCCTAAGGTCCCCCCTGGTCAGTGTGGGGAGGATGTTGGAGAGACAGCGTGAGGCCCCTCCCTGGGGTGTCTTGTGGGAGATCTAAGCTGTCGGTCCAGGACATTACAGCACGTTGCCTCAACCTCTGTACTTCTGCCTGGTCACCTGCCCCCTCCTCCCTCCCCAAAGTTGAAGTCTTTCCATTCTCAAAACAAATAAAGGAACCCACAGTTGCTGCCAAGGCCAGGGAGGGAGCCGCAATCCCAGCCTTTTTCACAAGTCTTCTGTTTCAGTTGCCACTAAAGTAGCTTTCAGATAGCCAGTCCTGGCTCCCACTTTTCCCCCTTAGCACTAATGGGTGTAGTGCTCTCTGAACCTGTTTCCTCATTTACCAAATGGGGTTAAAAATAGCCCCTACCTCACTAGGTTGTTGATAGGGTGAAATGGAAAATGCATGTAGAGCACTTGGCCTAGCACAGTCTGCGTGATAGATGTTTGCTGGAGGACCTGGGGGCGAGCCAGGCCTAACAGTGTTGGGCTAGAACCCGTGTCTCCTGCCTCCCGGCTCAGTCTCTCCCTGCAGGGGTGCACTTGCGTCTCCTCGCTGAGAGGTTGGGAGAAGTATGTAGGGTGAGAGAGTGCAGAGGCAAAATAAAACGCCTCTTGCAGACCAGCATTTTGAGGTTTGGGGACCACGGTCTTAATTCAGACCCTGTTCAGAAGGAAAGTTGCGATGGCTGAGGCCCAAGGCCCTTAGAGATAGAAACCAAACAAACCCTAACCTCCTCAGCCCCGTGGAGCCCAGCTCTCAACAGCTGAGACAACACTACCCAAGGCTGAGGCCGCAGAGAAAACGGACTAAAGGCAGAGGGGTTGGGGATTGCGATTTGAGGGGGAATCTCAAAGGAACTTGGGGTGTCAGCCACCTGGGGTGACTCAGCGGTGTGGCTCTTCACCATTCTCTTCCCCCTGGCCGAATAGAAGGCAGTGGAAGTAGAGCCAGGCTAGGGTCTCCTGACCAGAGAAGCCTCTACATCTACATCTCCCCTGTTCTGGGCGGTGGGGG